CAATTTTGTTTAAACAAATGAAAAGGAAGTTGCATGCATCATCTCTGCTCACATTCCATTCCTAAGAACTTTTCACATGGCCTAATGCAGCTGTAAGGGAGGCTGAAAAAGTCTCTAGGTGAATATATGTCCATCTGAAAACTCTGTTGCAATCAAATAAATGGAAATGGATTTAGGAAGATACTTAGCAATCTGCCACGAGTTCCCATGTCATAGGATTGTTAAGAGCGTTAGGTAAGGAAGAAAAGGGGAACTTCAAATATTGCTGCACTGAAGGCTTTTAATTATTCTGGCAGCAATGTAGAGAATTGGCTGGAGAAGAGAACATAGCTTGAAGAGTATTCCAATGATAAAGTCTAGAAATCTAAAGAGACTTAATGAAGATACAGTAGACAAAATGATGGAAAGGGACAAAAGGATAGAATAATCTCATTATCAGCTTAATTAGTTAATCTTTTCCTCCTTAAATTTTCTGAGATCCATTGAGTAATAATATTCCCATTCTTTTTCTTTTTTTTTTTTAAATCATTATACCATTAGTGACCTCAGGCAAGCCTCAGAATATGGATGGAATAGATGGATAAATGACTCAATGTGCGGTCAATCCTTAACAAATGATAATGGTGGTCTAACTACTGATTACATCCTGTTATTAGATTCCCTGTGCACTCAAGGAAATATTAGTGGCCATTTTAATCTACAGAAGAAACATTAATATCAATGAGGCTAAAGGCTATATAACATATAAGATGAAGATTCTCTAAAAACAAATTAAATATATTTGGACACACATTGACTTAGGCAAGCTAATTACTATTTACTATTAAATACTAAACACTATTAAATTAATTCTGAAATTCACTGAATTAATATATAATATACAGTGTTTTCCAATAAAACTGCAAAAAAGAGAATTGACTTACTAATGTTGCTGTTGTTATGTGCCATTGAGTCAGACCCGACTCATAGTGACCCCTCTTTGGGTTTCCAAAGCAGTATCACTACAGAAGTAGATTGCTCAACCTTCCTTCCGAGGAGTGGCTGGTGGGTTTGAACCGCCAGCCTTCTGATTAGCAGTCAAGTGCCTTAGGCACTACGCTACCAGAGCTCCTTGATTTAGAAATAGAGAGATGAAAATTACCTTTGGAATTTTCTTACATTTTAAGTAAGTAATCAGTCACTCAGCTACACTGTATTTTATTAAGTCTAGCAGACTAATGCTATCTACCCTCAAACTTGGTTTTATTCACCTATAAAATGAGGTTGCTATGAGTCAGATCTGACTCGATGGCTCATAACAACACAAAATGAAGATAAGAATACCCTTCAAAGTTGTAGTAAATATTGAAGATGTATAGAAATTTAAGATAATGTACCTAACTTGTGGTGGCTATTCAATAAATGGCAACTATTTTTAACAAACACTTAATATTTTTTAAAAAATCAGGCTAAATAATTTTGAAAAACTTGTTTATACTCTTCTAGGCATTTTCCATTTATTAGACTAAGCAAAATTAAAATAATTAACATTTCTTGTGCTAGTACCTAAGCTATGTGGGTACATACTTTGCTTCACTTAATTCTCACAATAACATTTTATTTCCTCCATATTACATTCCTGGTAATACTCTTTGCTCTACAACCTGCTGATATTAATATAGACATTTCAGCTTTCTTTTTATTAGTATTGGCATGATGTATTTTTTCCAATCTTTTACTTTTTATTTGTATTTTTATATTTAAAGTGCATGTTTTATAGACAGTGTATAATTGGTCTTGCATTTTCAATTTGACAAATCTCTGCTTTTTAATTTTTAGATGATATTGTTATTTATATGATTAAATATAAAACATCATCTTGCTATGTTTTCTAAACTGTTCTTGTCCCTCTTTTCTGCCTTCTACTAGATTAATCAAATGTATTTTATGGTTCTATTTTATCTCCTTATTAGTTATAATTCCACTTTAATGGTTGTTTTAGTGTTTACAGTATACATCCTTATCACAGTCCACTCCTTTTATTACATTCCCTCACTAGTTTAAGAACCTTACAACAGTACACTCCATTTGCCCCTGCCTGACCTTTCTGCCATTGTTGTCAAACATTTCACTTCTATACATGTCATAAACCCCATACACATTTTTATTATTTTTGTTTAAGCAACAAGTTGTACTGATAAGAGGTTTACATAAGGAAAAAATCTTGCCTATATGCTGAAATGTAGCTATGTATTTAATGGAATGTAGTTACCATTTCCAGCATCTTCATCTTTTGTGTAGCAGACTTTATAGTACCAGTTTCCTTTTGCATGAAGTACTTCCTTTAGTATTTCTTATCGTGCAACACTGCTGCTGCTGAAGTCTTTCAGCTTTGTATTTCTGGAAGTCATTATTTCACCCTCATCTTTGAAAGATATTTTATCTGGGTATAGAATTCTAGGTTGACAGGTTCTATCTCTCAGTACTTTAAAACATGTCATCCTACTGTCTCATTGCTTATTTTGTTTTCAAAAAGAAATCTACTGTCATCATTGTCTTTATTCTGCTGCACGCCTTTCCCCAGACCCTACCCCCAGCTGCATTTGAAATTTTGTCTTTACCACTAGTTTTGAGAAATTTAACTAGGATGTGTTTTCCTGTAGTATTTTTCATGTTTCTTGTACTTAGAATTTGTTGATATTATGGATCCATGGCTCTATAGATTTCAGCAAATTTGGAAAAATTTTGGCCACTAGTTTTTCAAATATTTTTCCTGTCCCCCACCCCCTTTTGTAGGTCCAGTTACACATTAAGCCACTTAAATCCCATAGCTCAATGATGGTGTTTTTTTTTTTTTTTTAAATCTTGTTTCTGTGTTTCATTTTGTATAGTTTCTTACTGTCTTCAATGTTGCCAATCTTTTCTTTTGCAGTGTCTAATCTGCTATTAATCTCATGAAATGTATTTTTAATAGTTTTCATCTCTGTAAGTTTAAACTGGGCCTTTTTTTGCAGTCTCTTTTGTATTTCCACTTAAATTTTTGAATATTTTAAATTTATCTGTAACTTTTGTTATTATCTGCTAATTCTAATATTTGTCAGTTCTGGGTGTTTTGGTGGATTTTTCTCATTATGAATCAAATTTTCCTGTTTCTTTGTAATGCCAGGTTATCTTTAAACTGTTGCCAAACACTGTGAATTTTGTCTTGTTAGATGGCAGATATTTTTATATTCCATAAATATTTTTTGAGTTTTGTCCTAGGATGCAGTTAAGAACTCGAAAATAGTTTGATCCTTTGGGATATTGCTTTTAAGATTCATTAGCTAATTGAGACCAGAGTGGTACTCACATCTCATCAGGATAATTATTCCCTAGAATTACCAAGGCAAGACTCTTATGTGTGTTCTACTCAATGCTCCATAAATTATGTTTCTAGTACACCTGGTGGAAACAGGCACTACTTCAGCCCTGTGTTAATGGTCCCTCTAATCCTTTGGACTGCTCTCTCCCTGACCTTAATTAAGTACACCCACTCCTCACTTATGGCATAGTTAGGTTCCAAAGACCAGGTTATTATGCAAAAATGGAGGATTTTCATAACTGTCAAACTACAACATTACATAACAGTTAAACCACTAAGAATCATGGCTCAGTCAAGATGTCACATAACCATAACCATCACAGCAAGCAATACTCTTGCCTCACATCTTGGCATTTGTTACTGACAGATGTATGTCATTAATGCACAATAGTTGGACAGTAGCTTTTTACTACTGTCATAAATACAAAATGTCAGACGAGATATTCAATAGGTGAGGAGTAGGTGTAGCTTCCTCTCATGCATGTGCTGCTACTCTGCTGAAAAGGGAGACCAATTACAGACCTCCAGAGGTCTCTCTCTATAAAGCTCTCCTCTCCAACACTCTGTCCTGCAAACTTTAATATTTCTGGGCTTTCAGCTTTATCCCCTCAATTCAGGGAGCATACTTGCTTTTGCCTAGGTTATCCCTTCCTTCCCTGTGTCATGGAAACTCTTTTAAGACAATAAAATAAAGCATTCATCTCTGAGATTACTGTCCTTTTTTGCCTGAGGTCCAAACCAAAGAACAAACCCACTGCCATTGAGTAGACTGACTCATAGAAAACCTACAGAAAGAACAGAACTGCCCCATACTATTTCCAAGGCTGTAAATCTTCACAGAAGCAAACTGGTTTATTTTTGTCCCATGGAGTAGCTAGGGGGTTCAAACCATCTATCTTTAGTTAACAGCCCAAAGCTTTAACCACAGTGCCACCAAAGCACCGCCTGATATCCAGTTTGTTAAAAAACCACTATAACCTCTGCATATCCCTATGGGATAGAAATTATTGCCCAGCTTTTAATAGATGAGAAAATAGACACATCAAAGTCAGGTAATAAGCCCAGATCACATAGCCACAAATCACATATGGTGGAGGGGGAATTTTTTTTTTTTAAACTGTTTCAGGTGTGGGGTGGGTATATCTGATCCCCATTACTCCATACTGGCCTGAAGGGGAACAACTAGCTAGTTCAGCAAACTGCACACAGCAGGTGCTCAATCACTGATGGCTGGATTTAAACTACACTTTTTCCTGAATAAGGAGCTCTGGTGGTGTAGTGCCTAAGGCATTTGACTGCTAACCAGAAGGCTGGCAGTTCAAACCCACCAGCCACTCCTTGGAAGGAAGGTTGGGCTATCTACTTCCGCAGTGATATTGCCTTGGGAACCCAAGGAGAGGTCACTATGAGTTGAAATCGACTCCATGGCAGTGAGTTTGGGTTTTTGGTTATAGCTGAGCAAACAAAGCCTAACATTGTCAGTGACTTGTTAAAGCTCATGTAGCCATTAAGTGGCAGGGTGGGATTTAAACATCAGTCATCTGTCTCTGGAGCACATATTTTTAAACACTACACTATAATCTACAATATAATATTATATAATAATAAAATCCTAATCTTGCATGTTGTCACTAGCTATTGTTTGTTTTGGCTTTTAAAGGTAAAATTAACAAATTCCAAAGGAAAAGACTTCTGTGGTGGTGTTATAATACAGGAAAATTTTGTACTGACAACAGCAAAATGTTCCCTCATGTACAGAAATATTAGTGTGACAACAAGTAAGTATTCTATCATGAATTTTAATAAGATCATATTGGAAATGAAAATCATCCTGTGTTAAGAATGAAAATGAAAATTTAAAACTGTTTCTAATCCAAAACTGAAGTGAATTTAGCTTCAACAATACTGATGAGATACTTTCTATAAAATCAGAAAGTATATGTAAAACACCTAGCAGAACATCTGGGCAAAGCAGGCAAATGTTAACTAATATTTAGCATAAGGAAGATCTCACAACCATAAAAAGAAAGCATTGAGATGGAGCAGTTGTGGTATAAGAGAAATAATTAGCTGAAAGTCACAAAAGTTGGGCTCAAATTTCCCCTCCACCCTATGTGATTCTGGGCTACGTGATCCAGGCTTATTACCTGACTTCTATGTGCCTATTTTCTCATCTATTAAAAACTGGGCATCCACAGGGATGCCACAGAGGTTAAACAATAACCTGTAAAAGTGCTTTCTAAGATTAAACACCATATGAATACCAGATTACGAATCTAAAGAACCTTAAAATATTATTTTACTCATCATCCTTAAATAATTTTCAGTCAATAAAAATGTTAGCCTAAAAGCCTACTTCTAAACAGCCTACACTTGATTTGCTTGGAGAAATTTCTCATTTCTTCCTACTTTCTGACCATTTCACCCAACTCCATTGTATTCCCGTCAATCCCCTCAAAAAATCACCTCTAAAGAACTTACTTTTTTTTTTTTTTTAAAGGACAATGTGAGGAGAGGTCATGGAAATTAGTTGAAATACTTTGTTCTTGTTATTTACCTTTCAATCCATAGAAGAAAATCAAGCAATTAGCCAGGGCATGTTCTATTACACTAAGCTTCTGCTTTTTCTAATTATTGTATCAACCTTGAAAACCAGACTTTAAAAAACTGGTGATTGTTCATTATTTCAGATTTTAATAGAACAAGCAATGACCCACTGACAATTAAGATAAAGAAACTGTATGTGCACATGAGATACAATGAAGACACTGGGGAAAATAACATGTCACTGTTAGAGCTGGAGGAACCTATTCAGTGCCTTAGCACTGGGCTTCCCATCTGTATGCCTGAAAAGGACTTTATGGAGCACATTCTAATTCCAGGGAAAGTGGGCTTTGTCAGCGGCTGGACAGTCAATGGGACTGAACTAGGCGACTCACTAATGAAGGTGCCGGTTACTCATTTCGATGGTGAGGAATGTGAAAAAGTACTTAATGTGACAGTCACAACAAGAATGTATTGTGAGAAGAGTGAAATGGTTGCTGGGCAGTGGGTGGAGGGAAGCATTGTCACAAGAGAACACAAAGGCACTTGGTTTTTGACAGGGATTATGTACTCATCACCAACAGAAGAATATGGACAGGTATTTCTTTTCACTAAGATTTCAAGATACTCACTCTGGTTTAGACAAATAATGAAATAATTAAAACTCAGCTAAATAGAAAGAATAAGATGTGGTGAAATTCCAAATTTTAACTGCAACCATGAATTTAAACTGAAAATTGTTACAACAAAGCAATTGCAAGGCCATCAGAAAAGCCTAGTCAACATATTAACTATTAGACTTATTTCTTGCTACATCATTCCTAAGTGTTGTAATATTTCTTTCTTTAGAATATTTTAATCTAAACAGAGACATTAAGAGGACTAGATACCTTAAGTAATAAAATAGCATATACCTGTTAGTTATAAAACAACCCAGTTTTCTGTAATTATCTACTTTTCCAAATCTAATGCTTTATGATGTTAATGAGCCAATGAACATAGCTTAGTCTAATAATATACTACAAATAACTGTATATCTTTGATATGGAAGCTTATAAGAACTGCTAGTCAGTTATAATAATAATTCTGCTGGGTTTACCTATTGCCAGTGTGAGTGAAATGGTTGCTAAATGTTGGAAGAAGTAACTAGAAAAGGATTAGCAAGGAAGGAGAAAAATAATACTAAAAGGGAATAGAAGCTATTTTAGAGAAAAGGATTAGGAAGCTTAAGAGAGTCTTAGAAGATTTAGGCCTTTAAATTAGTACAAGAAATGTACTTACTGATGGAGAGAATCCTCATAGACAGATTCCAAGGAAGCAACTGATTCAGGATTTGAATGCTGGAATCTCTCAATGCTGCTACTTAACTATGTAACTCTTGAACAATTATTTCTTGCCTCATTTTTCTCACCTCTACATGAGAATAATAATAGCATCTACCAAGTAAGGCTAAGTTAAAGCTGGGATAGTATTTAACACATTTGTTGAATAATAATAATCTATCGTCATCATGAAAGCTGCAGTTTCAACCAAGAATAGAAAAGATACAGAGTCCAGAACAAAAAATTGTGCTTCCTTGGAGATGATAAGAACATGAAGTGGGGGTTCTAATTTGTACTGTAAATGAGAAGTGAGAGCAAATGGGTAGAAATGTTAACAGTTTAATTTTTAAGTTAATCAAAGTGAGTGGCAAAACCACTCAACTACGTGTGCATAATTTCTAGCCCAACAGTTGAAGTGTAATAAAACAGTTTTCACAGGCTAACTGGCTCCGTGTACTCTATAGCAAAAGGCAGGAGAAAAAGGGAAACCACATAGAAAATATACAACTCCAGACACAGAGTGCTTGGGTGAAGGTAGTCTGCTGGGGGTCTCTTACTGTAGAAGAGAGCTGTTAAAGAGTAGAGAGGATTTTATTTTTAAGGGCTTAAACATGGAGGTTGATTTAAATATTCATTTGAGTTGAAAAAGTTTCAACAATTCAGATTTTTTAAGTCTTAACTATTCTTAAATATGCTAAGTATCTCTTTCATTTTTGATATATTTTTGATGTTATACTTTAATACCAGAATTAAACTTTTTTTGGGGGTGGAGTGGGTGTTGCAATCTACAGATAAATTGGTCTATGTCTGAAAGAATTGGCAATGCTAATCAAACTCAGACTGACTGGGAGAGCAGCAGGCAACTAGGGTAAATTTAAACATCTTACTAAAATTTATTTGTATTATTTTAAACGTATCACAAAGTAATTAGTTCATCTACTTAAAAGCCTACCTACTTAAATTCTACTATGTGTATCAGGTTAAAATTGTGCTGCATAGGGTTTTTAATAACCGATGCTTTGGAAGTATATCACAAGACTTTTCTTCTGAGGCGCCTCTGTGTGGACGCAAATCTCCAACCTCTCTATCAGTGGGCGAGCATGTAAACCATTTTGCACCACCCAGGGTCTTAAATGCCTACTGATGATTTAAAAACTGAGTAATAAGCATTGCAATATTTATGTAAATAATGCTGCAAAAATACCAAAAATCTTGTTTATGGTATTAACTTGTACTTCAAATCTGAATTTGCTTAACTAGAGTAGAAATCCTACTTGAAAATTATTACAAACACAGCATAAGCAGAAGTAAAGCAAATGAAGGATTTCATTGCAGTAATTATGGGCTTTATAAACCAGGATTGTTACAGAGAAGGTAAAGGCCTGAAATGCCAGCTGAGACATGAAGGGGCATTCAAAATGGAAAGAACTGCTTTTAGTATATAAAGTTCAATAAAATGGTTAGAAATCATTTGAGATAATCAAACCAAACAATAAAACTCAAGATAAAGGTGTTAGCTTAGCTTTGGTGACCTTTTAGATGGGCCAAACTATTCTTGGGCAGAGATTAACTGATTATTTGCTGTCCACACCAAACAAACACAATGATAAATGTCTTTATGTATGTTCCTGTGCTTGAATTAGGCCAATCTGCACATAGGCTTTTACACAAAGAGTATATCTATAGGTGCATATATTGTTAAATATAATCATCTATTACCTTAAACTGTTAATCCTTGATTATATGTATTAATATTTACTGTTTAAATTACTTGAAAACATTGACAAACTCAGCTTTCTGTTGCTATTAAATCCAGCTGTATGAAATTCAGGTATATGTAAAGAAATTCAAATATTCAAATTACTATAAAAACAAACTTTCAACTGGATGTTAAAGGATGTTTAAGGTCCTCTGCTGAGTGATGGAAAGATCAGATTTCCATATGTAATGCCGTAAGAAAATAGTAGCCCAGTGGAGATAAACCTACTATGTTGTTGTTGTTATGTGCCATTGAGTCATACCCGACTTTTAGCAACCCCTCCTTGAGTTTCTGAGGCAGTATCACTATGGAAATAGACTGCCCAACCTTTCTTCTGAGTAGTGGCTGGTGGGTTTGAACCGCCAGCCTTTTGGTTAGCAGTCAAGTGCCTTAGGCACTATGCTACCAGAGCTCCTAAACCTACTATAGAAAACAGAAATATATACCCCTGGAACATTTTTGCCAGTGTGAAGTCATTCTGTGGCTGTCCTAGTGGCCATATTCTTCTGCTTATGGAAACTGTTGGCTCCGTTTAACTTGTTGCTAAGTGGTGAAACAGCTCTAGAAGTCAGTAAGAACTCACTGGCATGAAATCTACATGCTTTCATTTTGGAGGTAGAGCTTATATTCTTTCAGCTTGAATCTGTATGTGACTAAGGCAGAACTTACACTATGACTGATAAGACTAGGTCACAAGAGGTGATATGGCTTCTACTTGTTTCTTTTGGGATAATCACTTTTGGAACTCAGCCACCATGCCATGAGGAAGCCCAAGTAATCTTTGGAGAGGTCCATGTAAAGAAGAACGGCATACCCTGGCCCATGGCCCAGTTTAAGCTCTGAGGTGACAGGCCAGCACTGATGTGCCTGCTCCATGAGTGACCCATCTTGAAGGGGATCATCTAGCCCCCAGTACAGTCACCCCAACTAATGTCACATGAAGCAGAGACAAACTGTCCTCATTGAGCCCTGAACATATTGCAGATTTATGAGCAAAATTAATGTGTGTCTGTTTAAGCCACTAAGTCTTAGAGTAGCTGGTTATGCAGGAGGAAACTGACAGAGGAGCCATGTACATAAGTCAAAAGTTTTTCGTTATGTAGCTGCTATAGAAGAAAAGGGAATTCAAATTTTCTAGAATGGGTCCTTTGAACAAAGGGAAAGAGCAGCTTTTAAATTTGATACTTTGCAAAGATGAACTAAAATAGACTCTGATGGAGTTTTCTTCTCTAGTAACTTTTTCATCAACAGAGGACATGGGGATATTCTGAAAAAGGTGAAGATGGCAGGCTATAAAATCTGGAAAATTTCAATAAAATTAAATTCAACTTTTAAAAAGAAGCCTTTTTAATATTTAAAAATAGACGTATCCTGGAAGATCCAATAAAAAATATGCCATTTGCATAAATTCAGAATGTCTTTTTTATAGAAAGACAAAAAAATTTTAAAGACAGACTTCGTGAACAACATTTACAAAAAGTAAACTGGATAGCTGCCTTAAAGACAAAGCCTCCTTTGTAAGAGTTTCAAGAATGTTTCAGAGCCAAATAAGGTGTTTTCACTTTCTGCAATAGGAATTCCAGATCTTTGTGAGGTTAACATTAGTTATGAACGATAAAGGAACTCCAAGTTATCCATGTGTGTATACTGGCAAACTCCAGTCCCATCATCCCTGAAAAGGGGCCTTGAAGAGTTTCCTGGCCTCAGTGAATAACATAATGTTATCAGTAATGACTTCAACAGCAGGATTAAGAACAAAAGTAACAAACAGCTTTTTCCGCCTTCAAGGTTATATATTCAACACACTGTCGACAGTGGAGGGAATGGGTTTTGCTTGCTCACAACTAGCTTCTGATGCTGATGTGATATATAGCCTTTAATGTGACCCTGTAAGAGAAAAAAAAGTAGAACAGGCTTTATATTTCTGGGTTTGTTACACCAAAGATGCTGAGTGATTTAATTAACTAGTCCCTTGGCGTAAACATTTTTCCTCAACAAATTATAAAAAACCAAACCAATCTGATTCATTGTGACCCCACGTGTGTCAGAGTAGAACCATGCTTGATAGTGTTTCCGGTGGCTGATTTTTTCAGAAGTAGATTGCCAGAGCTTTCTTCCAAGGTGCCTCTGGGTGGACTTGAACCTCTAATCATTCAGTTAGCAGCTGAGTGCTAACCGTGTGCGCCACCCAGGGATATTTCCCCAGTAATAGTGCAATTTAATTTGATGGGGTGACAATGAATATCATACATAAATACATACACACACACACACACATATGGTAGAAACAGAGAAATATATATTATATCCACTCACCCACCCTCTGTAAAGTCCTTTGAATATTATGCTATTCCCTAAAGTAAAATTAGTTCTATTAGAAAATAACTTCACAAAAGCAAAAGACCTTTTAATAGTTTTGATGCCACTACATTAAAGATTCAAATTCCAAATAAATTCTATACTGAATAGCTGTTTAAATTAAAATAGGTAGATCATATACCATATATATGAGATTAGCCAAAATACACTGGACTTCATCAATATCCACATCTTCTACTTGCATGAATTTCAAGGCAACTAGGAAAGCATCAAGGGACAACTGATGTGTTTTGAGTAACAAATATCTGAAAGAAGAAAAGAGAACTCTATTTTACTAATTAATAAAATGGAGTGTTTCAAAGGCCAAGAAAAGGTTCATCAATTAAGTCAAAAGGGAGGGGGGGGAGAAAACCTTTTATTAAACTACTGTTCAATAGGAATGAAAAAAAATTTTCTCACCTATTAGATACACTCTAAAAATAAGAGCTATTAAATTTTGACTTTTCAATTTAAAGAAGACACAGTACAAATTTATATTTTTTTATATACTGAGTATTTCATTGACTCTAAGATGAATATTTCTTCACATTTTAGTATCTCTGAAATCAGGATATTTCTTACTTACAATGGATAGTAACTTAGAGTCAATAGAATATTATTACTATTTTTGACACACTACTTACAGCTATATTAAAAAGCCTGATTTCATCTGAAGTTTAATTAATATAGATCCTGTTGGGACTAAGTCTCAACAGAGAAAAGTCAACTTCCAGTATCACATGTAAGAAAAGGAATAATTATATAAAGATTTAATTTTCTGGCAAATAAGGGTAAAAAAGAGAGCTTTTGATGATCATAAATAAAGAAATTAAGCAATTAGTTTTACACAAACTGATAAACTATAAAGTATTTGATTTTTAGGGCAAACATTAAAAAATATTTGTTACATATGTTGGCAAATGTCTTGTTGTATATGTTTTCACCACAAAAGTAAAAAAAAAAAAAATTGTTATAATATTCTCTTATCACATATAACTCTGTATTGTATCAAAAAGTTAAACTGCCTCCCCCAAAAGTATAGACAGAGTTATTTGTTTAGTCATCTATCTCAACATCAAGTCAATTAAGAGGCAATGAGTAGCTTTGGGAAGTTTCATTTTATTCCACACAATTAAAGGGAAAATTATGGGACCTAAACTCACATAAGGAGCTCTGGTAGCATAGTGGCTAAAGCACTTGACTGCTAACCAGAAGGCTGGCGGTTCAAACCCACCAGCCACTCCTCGGAAGGAAGGTTGGGCAATCCTACTTCCGTAGTGATACTGCCTCGGAAACCCAAGGAGGGGTCGCTATGAGTCAGGGCCGACTCAACGGCACATAACAACAACAACAACAACAAACTCACATAGATTATCATCCTTATCTCAGAAGAATATATATCACCTCTTACTATGACAATTTTCGTAACTTGACAACTCTACTGCATGAGTTACACTAAGAGTTTAGCAATAGTTAATTAGTTAGAAAGAAAACACTTTGCTTACACTTTCTTAAAAAGATTCCTATAAGTGATGATCTTCAGCTTTTCAAGAATAAGGAAAATGCCACAGCGAATAAAAAAGGTTTCATGTTTTGTCAGAGCTTCATTCAGTAGTAAGAGATTACCTTCGCTGGGGTGAGAGAGGGAAAGACAATGCAAGAATAAGAATAAAACATAATTCCAGCAAAAAGCAATTATTTCTTATACAAGATGAGAGAAAGTTTTATTAATTTTATATTTTAAAAAATCTCAAATGATAAAGATAAAATACTCTACCTTACAGCTTTGGTTACTTCAGCAAATTGCATAAGATGATACTTTTTCAAAAGTTCAATAGTTGGCATATGACCCTAAGACAAAGAGTTAATTTACAAAATAAAAATGTTTTATTTCTGATAAAATTCTTATAAGGGAATTAAGTATATGACAAAATGCAACTTGTGTTTTCTTAGAAATTCTTCTTAAGTAGCTGAACAAGGATTAAAAATTTCACAATACACTGAGAAAAACAAAAAAATAAAAAACACTGGCCAGAAATCAGAAAACCTGTAAAAGTCCAGTTTTGTCATTCAAATGACATGTAATCGTGACCTTACTTTCCCTGACATAATGCTTCATGTCTCTTATCATTTATATAATAGGGAAGAAAGTGGTAACTGAAATATTTTGCAGAAGAATCAATTAAAAAGTTTAAAACTGTTGTCTCAGTGAAGTAGGACTAGAAGTGAGGAGGGACAGAAACAGCACTATTGTTTCTCCATTGTAAGCTATTTTAATTATTTATGTTTTTAATCATATTATATATTGCTTTGGGAATTAAAAAAAATTTAATGGGAGGAAAAAAACTTTACCTATCACTTTGAGTATATGTATAGTTAATCAATTAACTTACCAGTTACTTGGTATTTCTTTTCAAAGAGCAAAAATAAATTTTGGTGACTCAATAAATACCTACAAGATAGGCTGGAATGACATTTTCCTTTCTTAGTTAAACCATTTGTATTAATGTTAACTATTTTTTATTTTTAGGGGGAAATAACACGCATTTATTCTATCTGTCATATGTTAAGTTTTTGAGTTAGTAGTTTTAAGGAAAAAAAACAGATACAAAGTCTTTCTGGAGGAACTAAAAATATTAATCATGCAGAGACACAGGTCAGGTCACATGCCAGCACTTATTTGTTCTCTATTCTGGGGATGTGCTCACATAGATTTCAGACTGTAATCAAGTACACATCATCTGCTATATTTTAAAAAGTTTATCAACTCTTTAAAGAAAATCATCCAGTAAGCTGAGTAACAATCCCTTACCAACAGCATTTTTACGGGCAGCAAATATATCAGAATCATTCGCTTGTTCTTCTGACTCGAGCGGTGACAACGCTCAAAGGCAAATGACAGATACTCCTCAGCTGTAGAAAGATAGTCCAGTGTCCCCAATCAAAAACTATACCAAAGCATTTAGTATTCTTCAATACTCTATAATAGTAAATTATTACATTTTCTTTCCGACTCCTTATTCTATCACTTCATTCTTTCTTCTTGCTCCTTATTCTCTCGTTATATCCTTATATAAAAAGAAAAAACTGCTTCCTTTATCATTACAAAAAATAGTAGCCTAGTTTCATTTCAGTGATCAGTGATTATTTGTAAGTAAAATCTGTAACACTGAGTTTAAAAACTGCCAGGAAAGTCTTATTTAACAGGGGAAAAAACCTGAAGAAATTAATTTTCAATGCCTAAGGTCACCTGGAGAGCCATTAGGATTAGGATTTTAAAAGTTTTATATTTATATATATGTACAAGTAGCACAGTACTCTGAGGTCAAAAGGCAGACAAACAATTCCTTATATTCAATTCAAAGAACAGTCATAATTATTTCACAAAAAAAGGAAAAAAGGATACACATGATAGACTGTTACACTCTGAAATATATTCTAGAAACCCAGTATAGATTAAAAACCTTCATATATAATTTTCACTTATTTAATCAACTTTAGTGTCCAAAAAAAGAGACTACAACATGGTTTACACATATATTCTACCTTAAGTAATAATAAAACACAGTAACTATGTTCTTTAAACTCTATCACTTAAGTTACCCCAAATGCAATTGTCTAATTTAAAATACAGCAAGAAGATTAATAATATACCTTGTTTAAAGTCACTATCAAACATAGCCTTGCGTCCAACATAGTATTTGTATGTAACTCTCTGTGCAATGCTATAATCATCTTTCAGGTTTGAGCTGTCGATTGCTCTAATTAGAGGTTTACACAAATGGAGTTTATTGATCTGTAATAAATAACAATCCATTTCAAATACGTTTTTAAAAGGCAGGTAGTAAATATAAACACCTACTTTACTAAGCATATGCTTCCTTAAAATGGGAATTATAAAACCTATTTCATATATCAAAATCAGTTATTAAATAATAAAACCTAAAATTAAAAAACTGCATGGCATATGCCACATTCACTTTTGGCCTAAGAAGCACTTCAAAGACAGAATCACCCTCCAGGGCAGCTAAAAGTGATGTTCCATGATGAGCCTGTATGACTATCTGCAAATACATGTCATATGTATTACAGCAACATAGACAGGGAAAACATGTCAAATATGTGACATGAATGTAAAAGCTCCAAGAACAGATTATCCAAATTTTAGCTGTGGACTTGTGATGGCGTTGCTCTTCATTTGGTCAACTTTATGTAGCAAAGAATGATTTTTTTTTTTTTTTAATTCATCTAGCCACCCATATACTTTTAAACAGTTAATCATTACAATTGAAGTTAGAAGGGTCTGGGATGCAATTGCCTGAATTTAAAGCCCAGTTCCACCAGGCTGGGCCAGTTACTTAATATACTTGCACCTTAGTTTCCCCTAGCAATGATAGTAACATTTAGCTCATGGGACTGAAATTTAAATACAACGATACATGTAAAGCATTTAGAATAGTGCCTTGTACTTAGTAGGCACAAATAAAAGTTACCTGTTATGATTAGGAATAGATTATGATCATTTCCCAAGTAATGTTAGGAAGTGTAGCTAAAACCATGAAAATAATGTATCTGGTAATACAGGGAAAAGGAAAATTTATCAAGTATTCAACCAGAAACATACCTTAAAGTAAATTTTAAATAGCTGATTCACCAGAAACAGCATTCCCCACTTCTTAGAATCCTCTATACCAGCACGACTATGGAAAAATAATTTTTTTAAAAGTTATATAGAAAATAAAAAATTTCATTTAAAAACCACAATATAAACTTTCTAAACAATGTCTTGTGATGAAAATCCCACAGCTCAAGTCAAATAAAATGAAACTATAAAACATATCTTACCTAATAGGTAATACTGAAAAGAGAGCAAAGCAGGAATTCTAATCCCAATTAAATATTTGGATATTTCTCCTGCTATAGCAGTTTCTTCATCAGCTGAGAGAGAAATGCTTAGTTTGAAGCAATATGTAAAAGCTAATTGTTAAAAGTTTACTCTTATTATTATAAACAAAATGAACTACTGAAATATGTGACAAATGGATAAATCTCAAAAAAAGCAAGACACAAAAAGCTCCATAACAGGTTAAACTAATCTATAGTGGAAAATAAGTCAAAACAGTGGCTGCCTTTGCCTAAGGATGAGAGATTGTCTGTGAAGGGGGATGACGGAAATTTCAGGGGAAACAGACCTCTTGAGAGAGGTATGGGTTATACAGCTGGATGCATTTGTTAAAACTCAGCAGACACAGTTAAGATTTGCGGAATTGTATGTAATTTTACTTTTAAGAGTCAAATGAGAAACTCAAGTTTTAATTTAAGGGTGACTTTACTAATGCCTGCTACAGTGTTTAGGAGAAAATGTACTGATGTCTGCAATCTACTTTGAAATACATTAAAAAAAAAAGATAAATTGATGGATGGCTAGAAGAGAAAGATGCATGAATAGGTATGATAAAGCAAATACAGTAAAGTGTTAATAGCAGAAGTGGTGCAAATGTAATTATTCACTGCAAAATTCTTTCATGTTTGCTGAATATTTGAAAATTTCCATAATAAAATGTTGAAAAAAAAATTCAGAGTTGAGTCTGTCCTGTATTTTTATTCTGCAAATGGGTCTTCTTTCAAAAAGCTTACAAACTTTCACAGAAGGTAGTGCCAGAAAGAGACTGCCCAATGGCAGGTTGCCTGGAAATACTAAAGCCAAGAGCATGAAGTCAATGCACGTAAAAATAAAAGTGTTCAATGTGGAAAACAAGCCAAGGGAAAATAACTTACTCCTCAAGACCACACAGAAACATTAAAACAATGTAAGAACATAATTCAGTTTTAAAATATAAATGCTTACTTTAGAGTAACTGTACCTGCTATAACCAGCTTTTTTTATAGGATTTTTGTCACTAATTAGTTGTATGACTAAGTAAGATACTTTCTGTGTCTTGGTTTCATTTTCCTCATCTGTAAAATGGAGACAAATAATAACACTGCCCTATCTACCTTGAAAGAAGCTCTGGTGGCACAGTGCCTAAGGCTGCTTAGCATATGTAGTTCAAACCTACCGGCCGCTCTGTGGAAGGAAGATGGGGCAATCTACTTCTGTAAAGATTTACCACCTCAGAAACCCAATGGGAGTCACTATGAGTCAGAATTGACTCAATGGCAGTGAATTTAATTTTTTATATCTACCTTGAATTTTTTTTTTAAAAAAAGCATAGGCAAGTACTTTGTAAATTATATTACATATCTTACCACAATTATGGTAATATCCTTGCCACTTTGGCACTAGGAATAATGATCTCCTTTGAGCAAAGGTGACAGAAGTAGTAATCCCTAAGGGGAAAGGTTTGTCTCTTGGAATACATAATAGAGCCTCATGAAGAAGACAGTCTTTGGGTAGCTTAGTGGGTTGGGTGAAATCATAATCAGCTAAACTAAAAACAGAAACTTCTAGTATCTAGCATAGACCTTTAGGTTTTCTAGTATCAGAGAAAAATGCAGACACTGTATGGTTTTAGAATGCAGACACTGTATGGTTTTAGAAAGCAGACATTGCATGGTTTTAGAATGGTAAAAGATTTAAAAACAAAAAACAAAAAACACCACAGGGAATCAGCAGAACATTAGTGAAAAAACTGACAGACTCTATGATAAATTTAATTTTCTGTATCAGCTGGGCCTTAATGTATTTCCCAAACACTTTAGAATGTCCCTAACAGGATTCTTTGTCTATTTCATAGAACAGCCTTCCAATCTGTCCTTTGCTATTTCTCCCAATTCCCTATGCCAAATACGTTCCCTCTTCAATCAAAGTTGTCAATCTCTTCCTAAATTCTCCCTTTGTTTAAATGATACTAGTCATTCCTAATGTACCTTTCTGCCTTTTTTTCTACTTTCAATTTCTTTTCAAAAGTTACCCTTTGTCAAAGAACCACTTCAATGATGTTGTTACTCTAAATGTGTAACTTTTCTTTATTGAAATACAATTCACATGCCATAAAATTCACCCCTTTAAAGTGTACAATTCAGTGGTTTTCAGTCATTCACAAATTTGTACAAGCATCACCACTAATTCCAGCATATTTTAGCACTATAAAAACAACCCCATATCCATTAGCAGTCTGTATTCATCCCAACTCCCTCAAGCTCCTGGCAACTGCCTATCTACTTTCTTTCCCTATAAAACCCAAATCCATTGCTATCAAGTTGATCCCTACTCATAGCAATCCTACAGGATAGAGTAGAACTGTCCTACAGTTTCCAACATTGTAATCTTTACAGGAGCAGACTGTCACATCTTTTTCCTGCAAAGTGGCTGATGGGTTAAGCAGCCAAGGACTTAACCACTATGCCACCAGGGTTCTTTTCCCTATCTCTACAGATTTGCTTATTCTGGGTATTTCATATAATGGGATGATATAATAACTGGCTTTTTGTTTTGGCTTCTTTCATTTAGCATGTTTTCAAGGTTCCTCCATGTTATAACATGTATCATGCCTTTTATGGTTGAATAATACTTCATTGTATCAGTATATCCCATTTTATTTATACGTTATGATCAGTTGATATTCATTTGGGTTATTTCCACACACACAAAAAAATCTAGACAAATAAAAATACAGTTTTCAAAAATCTTGAATCACACTGAGGGTAAGAAGAAACTACCATTAATGCTTTGGAATATATACTTCCAAAATGCTTTCTATATGGAAAACAAACACACACCCACATACATACAGATAATCTTGTGAGAATCCCCAACCTTTGATGGCCTCTGCTATGGCCATTTACTTGTGTTCCTTCTCATAGAACTAAAGAAGATTAACAGGTTTTAATCATTATTCTTAAGCAAGACAGGTCAGGATCACAACATAGTATCATTATGGCAAACATACCTGAACTGAGGAAGAGCAAATAATATATGAAAATCCCTTACTTAAAGCCTTTTACTTTTTTTTACTTAAAGCTTTTTGACATGTTTGCTTTCCAGTTGCCACTGAAATAATATGACTCATAGTGACCCCATGTGTCACAGTAAAACTGTGGTCCAAAGGGTTTCCAATTCCTGGCTGTTCAGAGTAGATCACCAGGCTTTTCTTCCACAGCAGGCACTTCTGAATTCAAGCCCTTAACCTTTTGGTTAGAAGTCAAGTGTATGAACTATTTGTACCACCCAAGGGCTTTTGACATATATGCTACCGTAAATAAAAACAAAAAACTCACTGCCGTCGAGTTGTTTCTGACTCATAGTAACCTCTTTTTGGGTTTCTGAGGGGGTATCTCTATGGAAGTAGATTGCCTAATCTTCCTTCTGAGGAGTGGCTGGCTGGTGGGTTTGCATCACCAGCCCTCTAGTTAGCAGTCAAATGTCTTAGACACGATGCCACCAGAGTTCCCACTATAAATAAAGGAACCTTTATATCATAAAGGTCTGGTTTCATCACAGTTTCACAAATAACTAAAAAGTAATAACAACATTGCAAGGGAGTCTGATGACATAAAACTGTAAGGTACAGGCTGATCCTCTGTGATCTTTTCCCAATTACTCAGGGTGCAACTGTCAGCACTGGGGCCTTGGATTGTTTAGAATAGTGGTTCTCAAATTGTGGTCCCTGAGCAGCAGCAGCAGCACCTGGTAACATGCAAATTCTCAGGTATACTCCAGAAATTCTGGAGTTTGGGCCCAGCACTCTGTGTCTTAACAAGCCCTCCAGATAAGTATGGTGCTCACTAAAGTCGGAGAAGCACTGATTTAAATCAGAGTTTGGCAAACTACAGCCCACAAGTCAATTCCAGCCTATGGCCTTTATTTTACAGGTAGTGAACTAATAATGGTTTTTTTGTTGTTGTTGTTTTTAAATGGCTGAAAAATCATCAAAAGATTTTTTCACTAAATGTGAAAACTATGAAACTCAAATTTCATTGTTCAAAAACACTGAAAAAAATGTTTTATCAGAACACAGCCACATTTGTTCATTGATGCATTGTCTATAGCTCCTTTCACACTACTATGGCCCACAAAGCCTAAAATATCTAAAATAAAAAGTTGGCTGACCTATGATTTAGAGGACAAAGAGTGGTGAAATATGACAAGTCACAATACTTTCCAGGAACAATGTTTTTTTGTTTGTTTACATGCTATATTTTTCTTTGCTTTATAATTTCCTAAAACAATCAAATACCCTTGTGACTATATAATGGATGAAGACATGGTGCTTCAGGAGAAAAAAGTAGAAACTCTCAAGTAGAATCAAATGAAAAGTATAGAATTTTTAAGAATAATTTTTTATTTCTAAAATAGAAATAAGTAATGAAATAAATAATACAAACAAATAATCACAGAAAAAAATCAATGTGAAAAGGCAAGTCAAGACAAATCAATCAAAATGAAGGAAAAAGAAAAGAAAAAAAGTAAAAAAATAAACAAGAGTCTGTAGAATAATATCATGTGCTTTAACATACAAGTAATTGGAATCCCAGAAGGAGAACAGAAAGAATAGAAAGAAAAAAAAAGCTTAAACATGTAAATAATAATAATAATAATACAAATGTTTAATCTAATAGAAAATATCACTTATACATCCAAAAAGCTCAATGAATCCTAAAAAGGAGAAATACAAAAACAACGAGACATATGAGTAAAATTAATGAAAGCAAAATATAAATAAAGAGAAAACAATAGCCAGAGGGGAAAAAATGACCTATCATACATATACTTGGAAAAATGATAAGAATGACAACTTGCTTCTAATCAGAAAGAGAGGAAACCAGATGGAATGACATTTTTAAAGTATGAAAAATGGTCAATTTGCTAGAATTACCTACCAAAATGATCCTTCAAAAATAAAGGAAAAATAAAGACATTTTCAGAAAAATGAAAGCTTAGAGAATTCAACTATAAGTAGACCTGAACTTTAAAATAAATAAATAAATAAACAAACAAATAGATAAATAAGTAAATAAAACTAAAGAAGTTCTTCAGGATAGAAAAAAATGATACCAGATGGAAACGCAGATTACAGGAAGGAATAGCTCTAGAAATGGTAATATGGGTAAATATAAAAGACTACTTACAAAGCAATCGACTGTTTGAGGCAAAAATAATAAAAATGATTGTGGGATTTATAATACATGTAGAAATAAAATATAGGACAAAAATAGACAAAGGACAGGAAGGGGCAAATACTTTTGGCAATACATACAAGATTGGTAATATCCTACATCCTTCAAAATCTTTACTTACGTGTCACTGGCACAGACACGGAAACAACTCATCAATAATTCAGCAGCTTTTTCCAACATGTCTCCAACTTTGCTTTTTCCTTTCTTTACTAACTGTTGATCTGCCTAATAGAATATAAAAGCAATTATTTACTTCCTCTAGATTCCTTAATTTAAAAAGAAAATCACAATGCAGCTAAGAGCAAAAGTGGCTACAATGAAGAGTCAAAGGCCTAAAATGTTCAGGAGAAATCATCTAGTCTATACTACAATATTGTTAAAAACTGAGAAATTTATAGATTATTCCAACTCTTCCACACATTCAATCTCTCTTCAACCAATTCAAGCTAATAAGATACTAATTTTTTAAATGTAAATTGCATATGGCACTAGGCTAGAAAGGTTTTTCCTTCCTAAGTCACTAAACTTCACATTTCCTATAACCCTTGAAACAATGTTTGTTTGTTTTTTAATTGTGATTTGGGTGAAAGTTTACAGAGCAAATTCACCTTCCATATAGCGGTTCACATACACTTGGGTTCATGACATTAACTACAATTTACCACAATGCAACAGCTCCCTCCTCCCACTTCCTTCCTATAGTTACCTCTTCCCTGTGTCCTTCCCTCCATGTACTCCTGCCCCAAGCTATGTTCCTGTGCATACATAGCCCTTCCATTCTCCCATGACTGTTCTCTCCAAGGAGTGTATCTAGCTAGTATAAATGTTCACCTCATATGTCTGTCTTTTGTTTGGCTGGAAGCCACCAGTGTAGGTTCAATTCCAGACCTGAAGGGCAGCTAGGGGCCAGAGTCTCAGTGGTTCCATCAGGCTCTATCAGATCAACAAACCTGGTCCTTTTTTCTTTCTTTTTTTTTCCAAATGGAAACAAAAATTTTTGCTAAATATTAAAGTCAATATTAAGTTTGGCAATTCTTTTGTTTTTAGGAGGATAGTCTTGTTAAAGAAGAAACTTGGTTTTCTCCCACTCATAGTCTTTAGAGCAGTAATTCTCAAAATATGGTACATGAATACTTAGGGATCTAAAAGATGCTTGCAGAGGATCCTCCACAAGATCAAAGCCATTTCCATAATAATACTAAGCCATCATTTGTCTTTTAAAAAAATACTGCACATACACACACACACATATATTTTACTTTACTGTTTTTTTACACAGATGGTTAAAAAAACAATGGTAGGTGAAATCACTGGAGCCTTATGAGTTAACTAGTAATCGCTGTATCCTTAACTGCCATGCACTTGGAGTAAATAAGAAAGCTAGCTTGTTTTACTTTTAAAATGGCCTTGATGACCTAGTAAATATTAATTTTTTAAGTCTTGATCCTTGAGTACATCCTTGTAATGAAATAAATATTTATAAAGCACTTCTGCTGCATACTTAAGTATGATAGCTTTTTTAAGGAAAAGCATGTGGGCAACTGAGTTGCAAGGTGAACTAGCTACTTTTCTCATAGAACAAGCAACTGTAAGACAAACATAGTTATTTAGGCTTGAGCATTTGGTAGACCATTTTCTCAAAAACAAATGAAACAAAACTGTCAATTCTAGGCAAACAACTGACAGTATCTGTGGTCAAAGATAATATTTGAGCTTTCAAACAAAAATCAGAATTTTGGAAACCTTGTATTGACCACCTTGAGTTGACAGCTTCCCTATTACTTCAAAACCTTTCTGATTAGGTCATTGGATATATTAATAAATGTGGTTCTTGTTTTTTTAACAATGAAATGTGTCAACATTTAGAACATCTGTGTAACTCACTATACCATTATTTTTAAAATAACTAATGTATAATATTACAAAACCACACAGGGTAAAAGAGCCATTCAAAGTGCAAAAAAATCAACACCACAATTCAATAGTAAAGTAATGTAACAGGATATGAAAAAGTCACTGATGCAGTTTCAGAGTCTACACTGTAACTAACCTTAAGGATCTTGTTGTTGTTATGTGCCATCGAGTTGGATCCGACTCATAGCGACCCCTCCTTGGGTTTCCGAGGCAGTATCACTATGGAAGTAGATTGCCCCATCTTCCTTCCAAGGAGTGGCTGGTGG